TCATATCTCTCAATCCGAGTCATCTCATCGATGACACTTTCGTCCATCGATGAACTGCTGAGAACCCGTTCGGTCTCAGTAAACACCGTTGCCGATCGAATATCGGTAACGCACTCGTCCTTCGCGACGAGTACACAGATCCGCTTGACTTTGCCACTACGCATATCACGCAAGAACCGTTTCGGTTCTAGCGTTGGCAATTGAGTCATCTTCGAAGTTAACTTCGGAGGCACAATCAGATCAAGAGTTTAAGCGCCTACGCTTGATTCGTCATTAACCAAGACATTCAGTGTCTCGATCACCTCCTGGGAAATCACTTCCACAGGATCTGGGAGAGCTTTCTTCACAACGTAGTGATCATCTACATTGTGTTCTTGTACAGTCGTGCTAACGACCGTACCACAAGTGAGGTCATCGCACTCACTCGTAGTTTACCCAAGTGAGTGTGGGCGTTCCAAGATATTCTTCAGGTTGTTATCTGATGAACAAGTAGCACGTATCTTAACCGATCGAAACTGTCAACTCACCCTTGGCTCGTATATCCTGAGCCAAGGCAACCCTAAGATGACGTCGAACTTTTCATCTAGGTCAACAGATAAATCATCATCGACTGTTCATCTTTTAACGTGTAGTGGATTCCGACTACACGTTTCTTCACAGTGATCGATGCTCCTGTCGCTAGGCTCACCGTCATCTTCGTTGGAGGAATCTCCCGCTTCACGAAGTTAAAACTTCCTACCTCTAGCGACTGGCGACAAACAAAATTGCTCGACGCCCCACAGTCAACTAGGGCGCGAAGTGACAAGTCTTTTGTCACTTCTAACTTCAAGGTGATGAGAGACACCTCATCACCAGGTGCAGAGACACACAGAAATTGTGTGTCGGGAGCAACCTTCTTCAGGAGATTCGCGAATTCTCTTGATGTTGCTGGATCAGTAGGGCGCTCCGCCCCTACTGATCCCGACCATTTTTTTATGGTCCACCTCGCTGTTGCGACTTCGCAACAGCAACGGATCCTCGCTCTCCAGTTCTTCTTGCTGGTGGGTGAATACTGCGCTCAGCACTACGAGGTTCTGAGCTGGAACACTGCATTTGTATGCATAATGTCCCAACTTGTGTCAGCGATGGCATCTCACCATTCGCTTGTCGTTCATAGAGCGAGGTTTCTCGCCCTCGACTTGACAGAGGTCCATTGGTTCTGGACCTCCGACTGCTAATCGTCTCTATGGACGATGATAAGTCAACGTAGCGTGAGCCTGTCTCACGCTATAATCTTCTTGCTCCGCTGCGAAGATTGCCTCTGAGAGCATCTTTAGCTCTCCGCGGAACAGGTGGTCCCTGACGGGACCGTCTAAAAGCCCTTGAATAAAGATTGTGATCAACACAAACTCACTCACAGGGTTCACTACCATGCAGCTTGCAAGGTAGCGTACATGTTGGGCGTAAGCGTGAACCTTACGCTTACCCAGCTTGAGTTGCAGGAGCTTCGAAAGAGTCCTGAACTCTGCTCTGGGCGGCTCGAACGTCTCACTGAGCAGGGACCTGAAGATCCTTAACGACTCAAACACGTTTGGGTCGTGCAACTTGAGGTTCAGGGCCCAAGCTCTGGCTTCTCCTGCCAGGTTAGACTGAGCGAATGAGACTTGCATTCGCTCATCGTCGATGCGACGAGCATCGATGGCATCGTCCAGCTCGACGAACCACCTCAACAGGGAGTCTTCCTCGACTCCCCGATACTTGGTGACCTCGAGTTTTACGGACTCCCGTCGACGCTCACGCGTCGGCTCTGCGGACTGAGAATGTTGTTGTCTCAGTGCTTCGGTCCGCTGTTGATCTTGTTGTTGTAACAAGGTCACCTGCGCTCGCGACTCATCAAGTTCTCGTTGCAAGAGCTTGCTAGTGACGACATGTTGCTGGTCCCTATCCCTTGAGGATAGCATGGCCCATATGGCTTCCTCGCCAACGGTCGAACTCATTCGTTCGATCGCACTCTATTCGATGTCACTCAAATGGGAGTAGCTATCACGGGTTCCGTGAATGCTGTAGCCGTCTACGTCATCCAGCATGTTCATGTTGGGCGATGAAGTTGTGGTCCTCGGACGGACTACAAAGTGCTACCAGGTGTAACGGGGCACTGTTGACTACGTACTGGTTGACCAGTACGGAGTATACTTCCACTGACAACAGTGGTCGACAGTGCCCTGCTAGGTGTTGAAGGAACACAGAGGAAGGAAGGGAGACTAAGTAGTCAGACTAGTCTATGGTAAAAGTAAAACTGTATTAATATAATGAAGTCCTATAACTCCTTGAATCTCTGTTGTCCTGACTTAATTATACTAATGTAACTAAATGTATGATGACGTCTACTCACCACCCATTGCGCGCGTCTAGCAGCGATTGGTGGGTTGATATCATCACGATATCAACCAATGAGTAGACCATTCGGTCATCTCAGCAATATCACCATGTCTATGATATTGTTAAAAGAATGTTCGACGTAATATTCTTTATTGTCAAATTGCTTTCTGACAATTTCATGTAACGGGCTACCCCGTTGCACTCAAAGTCGTGAAAGGTTCGCAACATTGCCGATAGAGACGCCTTTACGGCTGCAGATAAGGCAGATTTAACCTTCAATTTTCATCATCGACCCCTTTGCGTCTCGATAACAAGCACTACGACGTCGTCCAAAACAACGGTCGGACGAGCGCGCTCAAGGCATGTACGTTCTCAATTGCTTTCTCGACGATACCAGTACGCGGGGCAGCTAAAAAAGTCCGTCTTCCCTATGGTAGTGCAGTTTGTGGGTACGTTCGTACCAAAAGTAAGCAATGCCATCTTCCCTGTACATTGACGATAATGTGGGTGTAAGAAATGAAGCTGTGGACAACGCCTCGACTTTGCGAGTTTGCAATCTCATCCGGAATAAGGGACGAGCATCGAGGACGTTTGATAGATGAGCACCGATGCGCCGATTCGATGTTAAGCGTGAATGCCTACTCATAACGGAGATACATACTGGACTCCGATGCCAAGCATGCGTCTAGATATGGACCTGTGATGCTATCGTTACCACTGAGAACGAGAACACTGACATATCAGGGATACAGTTGGCAATTATACAGCACTACTGTGGACACGTAAGTATCAGCTACGTAAGCGACTACTCTCGTATTTCACTTCATTCTTTGGTGACCATTGAGCTTGTTTCTTGACGTCAGAGGCAAACAGCTAAATCTTAGAGGCCACAATCGAGTCGATCCGGGGCGCGTCGAAGGCTGGAATCGGACCGCCATGCATGTAGATGATCACGAGATACGACGATGATGTGCGTGTTGTGACTAAGGCAACTTGCAGGGACAGTGGTAGTCGAACGTTCCGGAGTGAGTGATCAGTGTACGAGGGGGGTTATACATTCAGTCAGTAGTATTTAACTCTTAATACTACTTTCCATTTTGCAGCACAAAGAAGTAGTTAGCTTTCGTTTTAATGCACACGAGGATAGCCCCGCCAAGATCCGCATATACATCGGCGTTTCAATCCGAGCACTAAGTCATCGCAGATCTGTCATTGCCGCACGCTTTTGGACTGATCGAGCGCCTACAAGTGTTTCACGGATACGCTCATGCGTGATATCCGTGCTAGGTGATTGGAAATCATAAACAGGATTTCGAGGCACCCAACGCTTTGAACTGATGAGATAACTTTTTGTCTTGACTACTGTGCAGCTCTGGCAAGCTGCAGCGTGTATGATGCCAAACATGGAGAACATGTATGACGTGTAGTATGTTTGCTGAGTGAGGTGCGTTTGTGCAAGCAAAGAATAAGTGGACCCATCTATCGAATTGCAGCGAGTCACCGTCATGTGCTGACTGGACGACAGCAAACCTGGTGGAGACACATCTGGAACTCATGTGCTGCCACTAACCGGTACACAGTGTCTAACATATTAAAGCAATATCTGCAACTTATGTGCTGCCACTAACCGGTATACAGTGTCTAACATATCAAAGCAATATCTGCATCACTCTTCGGAAGGTATGCGAGGAAGGATGTACAAGTCGCCCCACTGCTTATCGACGGCGTTTGTACCAACGCTACATCATCGAAACGAAAGTCGAATGCAAAAGTTCACAAACTACAACCGCTTCTGATCTCTGTCATGCGATGTAGCCAGCAGTGCGATAGTAATGAAGGCGCGCAATCTCTAGCTTGGGTCTGTGAACCGCGCCACAAATCTCAGGCTACGCTGAGGACACATTCCTACATGGACTGGGGCTGAGCTCTGTGAATTCTGGTGGCAAGTTACTTCGTTTATGCAAAAGGTCCGTCTAAAAAGTCGCATATTGTGCATGACTCGATCCACTTTTGTTGCTCACGTGACGACTGACGGTACAATCACATACGACATCTATTTCGATGATCGAGACAGTCACTCGCGCCTGGTGCTATCCGAGCACGAACATTGCTGGAGTGCAGAAGCAGACGAAGTTTGTTAGTAAATGGGACTCGCCAAAGTTAGTATCGAGATACCTGCCCTCAAACGTAATTGGTGACATAACGCGACGTCAACTACGATCGCGTGCCTGCAAACACCGCACTGCGTGTTCCATGCTGATTGGTGGATCGTGGCTACAACACATGATCGATATCCGCCAATCGGAGTACAGCGCAATGGTCTACACACCGTAGTTTTCCTCCTCGACCTTATCGATAGAGCGGGCGCGTACACCGAACCCCACTCTGTCACCCTAACGACACCCAACAATCGCTCAATCAATCGCTCAACGCAAAGTGAACGACCGAACGAACGCTCTCCCTCGAGTCGCGTGACGCCATCTCAACAGCAATAGAGTCGACCCTAACGCTCGAGCAAACACACCAACGAACGGCCAGACCCAACCTACTTCCTACTCCTTCCTCCGCTCTATTTGCCGCACACGAGTCCCTCTCCATTATTATAATTCCATTCGCGCGACCTCAAAGACGTCAGTCGCCCCATGCGGCCGACCGACGCGACCCCAAACGCCTACGCGCACCTGAACGCCAATCTCTCGGCCCCCCCGCAGACGCACATCCACCCGATCGCCCTCGCGCTCGGCATCGCCGGCTTCTTCTGCCTCCTCTTCCTCGTGTCGGCCTCGTCCTACCAGAAGCACCAGCTCCAGGTCCTCGCGCGCAAACTCCTGCGCAAGAAGCGCAAGTCCGTCGCCGACGAGGACCGCTTCGGCGCTGTCACTAGCCGTCCGGTTCCCAAACCGAATCATACCGGTACCAGCACTGGCAGTCGTCAGAGTACGGCGGCCAGCGCGTCCCCCCACCCGACGGCGGACCTCCCGAGCTTTGTCCGCCACGCGGCCGAGACGGGCAACGCCCGCGTGGTCAAGCGCTGGATCCACTCGCCCAACCGCTACGTGGACGCCGCCAGTGCCGAGAACCTCACGGCGCTGCACTACGCAGTGCGCAGCGGCCACAACGAGTGCACGCGGCTGCTGCTGGCGGCCCATGCCGACCCAAACGCCGCGGACGAGCGCCGCGTGACGCCGCTGCACTTGGCGGCGCTGGGCGGCCACGCGCTGTGCGTGAAGCTGCTGCTGGACAGCAACGCCGACCCGTTGCTGGTGGACGTGGACGACCACACGCCGCTGTATATCGCCGAGCAGAGCGGCAACATTGGCTGCGCACGGCTCTTGCAGCGGGCCATGGCCAAGGCCGTCATGCAGGACGAGGCCTCGACGGTCACGTTGCGGGCGGGGGCCTCGACGGCGCGCGTGGACAATGCCGTCTAACGGGTGCACGAGCAGCAGCAGTGGACGATATAGCAGTGGACTGGAAAGCCCTGCGCTGCCACTCACGGTCGGGATAAGGGAGTCGGCTACAAGTTGGAGGCACGTGGCGCTTGGAACACGGCCGATAGCGCGATCACGAGCTGTTTCACTTGCGCCCGCGTGTTGTGTGCGTGGATGACAATGCGGAAGCGCTCGGCGCCTTTGGCCACTGTGGGCGATCGAATGGGAACGACGCGGACGCCCCGGGCGGCGAGGAGCTGAGCCGCCTGCAGCACGCGGTCGTTGCCGCTGCACACGATGCTTTGGATGGGGGAGTCGCTAGGCAGTAGCGCATGACGGGGAATAGAGTCGTTGCTTGCCATCTCGTGTTTGAAGTCCTGAACGCGCTCGCGCGCCGAGCGGCGAAGCGCGTCGGCTTCACGACTGGCGCTGAATTCGTGCACACAGGCGATCGCCACGAGCTGATGGAACGGCACTGCCGTAGTGTAGATGAAGGACTTGGCGTAGTTGACGAGGTAGTCGATCAGCACTTGCGAGCCACAGACCACAGCTCCGTGGCAGCCCATCGCTTTGCCGAACGTGTGGACTCGGCACGCTACAGCGCTCTTGAACTTGGTGTCGACGCGTAGCTCACGGATTAGACCCGAGCCCTGCGGACCGTAGACACCGGTGCTGTGCGCCTCGTCAACGATGAGAAACGCCCCCGTCTTGTCACAGAGCGCTGCCATCGCCTCCAACGGAGCAACGTCGCCGTCCATCGAGTAGAGCGACTCCACCAGCACGTACACACACGTCGGTGCTGCATCGGATCCAGTCGAAGACGAAGACGAGGAGCCACACGCGGCCACTTTGCGCTCGAGGTCCTCGAGGTCATTGTGACGGAACGCACAGGATCGACCCGCAGCGTGCGCGCGACTCAGTCGAATGCCGTCGTGGCACGAACTGTGCACGAGCTCGTCGTACAGGATCACGTCTTCTGCTTGGGCGATACAGGACAGCACACCGACATTGGCAGCGTATCCCGAATTGAACAGCAGCGCCGCCTCACTTCAGCATGTCGGCAGCACCACCAGTAGCATCCCATACAACACCCAGCACGATGAGTCAGTTCCCGAGCGCGTGGCAGGCAATGCATCAACGCATGCTTGCAGCAGCAACGTACGTGTGGTAGAATGTAGCCAAGTCCTTTTCCACCTGCATGAACATCTTCGAGTTGCCGGAAATGAGGCGGGAACCTGTGGCCCCTAAAGTGTACCCATGTTGCGCCTGCAGCGCTCGGTGTCGCGTCTGCACGAGATCCGTGAGCGTCTGCGAGCGGGCAAAGCTGAGGTAGTCGTTCGAGCTGAAATCCACTGCAGCAGTCGCAGTCGCGTCGGGGACGTGGAGAGTACGGAGAGTGCCGACGGCGCGGCGTCGTGTGAGCGCCACGAGGAGCTTTTCGTCCATTGGAGTCATTGGCGCAGACGATGTTTGAGGCGCGTCAGGGGGCAGTTGGTGTGGGCCACCCGACACACCACGTACCACACCTACCACACGATCGAATGGCGCAAACACGTGCGTGTGGTAAATTACGCTTTTTTGTGCACGAGAAAAGCTGTTTGCGTCATCAATCGCCGGGATCGTCGTCTCCAGTGAGCGCTTTTGTTCGCTTTCGCTCTGTCGTCAAGTCGTATGTCATGTCATTGGTGACAAACTCATCCATTTGGCTTTTTTCCACGAGCGCTTTTCGGAAGCCAAGCGTAGCCACTTCCTTATAAGGCCGTCAATCCAGTTCACTATCTCTTCTTCCGAGCGTGTAGCACAATCTGCTCGCTGATGAAAGCTATCGGAGGTGCAATCGGCGCACGTGGCACCAATAGACGTACGATATGACAGTATGAGCAACAAATGAACGAGATTGAACTCAGGGATATCGGGGACGATCAAACTCGGTGGCAGTCAGCGTCTGCACGTACCGGTGCCAACGACAGAGCTACACGAAGAAATGTCGATAACGCTGTCTGTACATGTACTACTACCTCAGTGCAGAAGGCACACGATGTCACTCTTCGACATGAGACAGTATCAGAGCAGTGGTCCATGGATCTGCTTTGAAAGATCTCTTGTCGAGTGCAATAAACCCTTTGCAGGAGCTCATTGCTAGAAACCATATGGACAAGTCTCGTATTGAACGATACCACGTCACTTTTTCTCTTGCCACGTCCACTCTCTCGCTTCTTCCGTCGTCGTGACTGCTCATCCAGAACGCACTACAATTACACGCTACGCCAATGACTCGAGATCTCGGCTCTACTTTCGGTCCACAATGAGCGGTTCCTCGAAGTTCGTACGCACCTCTTTACCAATGCGTATTCAATGCTCATTTGTCAATGCCCGTGGCACAGACACACACAGCTCTTCCTCTTCCTTCACTCGGCGAACAGCAAAGTCTCTAGAGCAAACTCTTCCGAACTGGAAGGATCTCCACGATACTGCTGGTGACACAGCTCTATCTCCAGCACGTCAGTACTGCACGCGTCCGTCGATAACTCGTTCATCGTCTGGTGAGAGCTTGCGCTCAAGCTCTCCTGCCACACGAGCTCGGGCTTGCACTCAACATCCGTTCTTCTGCATTCAAATCCGAGAGGAAACGGCGCGAGCTCAAAGCTCGAACATGTCGGCTGTGCGTCCCACACCCATGGCTCCAGAAACGTTCCTTGCAGAGCTGCAGCATCAGTCGTGCCATTACTTGCACTGCCTCGATTGTTACTTAGCGAGAACGCGTGCGGCTGAGCTTCGTTTTGCTGCTTCATATCGAGAGACTTGAAACCGGTGCTCGCGTAGCTCACCTCGGCTGACGAGACACTCGACGAGCTGAAGTTGTTCGACACCTGAGGCAGCGAGAACCGGCAGCTGCCCTGAGGAAGCTGCAGTGCACTGAAATCGCTGGGGATCGAGAACGGAGACGCCGGCGGTGTAGGGAGCAGCGTGCTCTTCGCAATCTCTGTCTGGAAGTAGTGCGGCTGCAGCGGCGGCAGAACCACTTGCTTGAACGAGTCGTCACAAAAAGCCTCCAGGCCATCCAGCAAGTCGGTCGTCTCCTGCTTCACAGCCGTGTGGGGCCGTGCTCGTTTCTTCAGCGGAGGCTGGTGACTCAAATGGTGACGAAAAGCACTGCTGTCCACATTGGCAGTTGAGCTGGGACTGCGGTACATCTCGCCAAACGAACACGTTGCAGCAACGATGTCGCGGCCTGGAACCTGCACGTGCACTGGCCGTCGACGCGACGCACTCTGACGATCGTCATCCAGATGTTTAGCTTTGGCCGTCGCAATGCCGTTCGTGACGCACCGTCGCTTCATCAGCGGGCTATCGACTGTTGCAGCAGTAGCAGCTCCTGGGGTCTGCACTTGGGTACTCTTCTGTCTCCATCGCTCGCGCACCGACAGATTGCTCGACGTTGCAGCCGACAGGTCCGGTGGGAAGCAATTGTGACTAAAGGTACAGACCCCACTCGACTGCGTCTTGGTCCACTTGCGGAACCCAAAGTTGTTGAGCTGGCGCTGGAAACTCGCAAATTTCTGGTGCTTAAAGTACTTGGGCAGCACCTCACGCTCGAAGCGCACCATTTCGAGGATGTGGAACGCCGTGACGCACTTCGGCGTCAGGGCCTTGTTCTGCACCCACGAGACGATCTGCGGGTCTTCCGTCTGCAGAATCGCGTACAGCGACCGCAGGAACTTGGGCACTTTGCACGCGACCGCCGACGCCGCAAGGGCCGCTGGCAGTCCATTGTCATCATCATCTGCTACTGCTGTTGCTGTTGTTGTTGTTGTTGCTGCTGCTGCTGCTGCTGTAGCAACGGCAGTCGACGACCGCAAACTGTCGCCGTGTGGAGACGGTCGCGTCCGCTTCAACGTGCGCGGATCCGACGCAGCCACTGGTTTTGGCCGGTCCAGTCGGGTCGCGGGCATGGCCACGTGCGCTGCAAAAGGGCCCGAGCGACTCGGGTCGGGTCGATGTGGTTTCACCGACGCAAATTCCCAAATGAGCTCGTGGAGGCCCCAAAACAAGAGGTGCGTTGGCACTGGGAGGCGGCGGCCGGCGCGCGCGCCATTGACTGCCGGGGCAAAGGGATTCGGACCAATCAGTGGACGCCAAACGCGACCCGTTGCGTCGCGTCCCCGTGACGGGAGACAGGGCGGCAAGATACTTTTTAAAAAAAGAACAGCCTCTTTACCAGCCGCCGCCGCCGCCGCAGTAGCAGTCGCGTCGTCATCATGGCATCTTTCGCTTTGTCTTTCCCTCTCTTCACGATCTCGCGCGCGGAACAGGACAACGTGAGGAGCTTCAGAAGACCACAAAACAAAACCCAACAAAGCAAAGCTTAGAGATACCACGTACAAACAAACAAGGAAGTGGTGGCCGAGAGGCTGACGCGGGGCGCCTTACGCTGTTCGCAGCCACACACGCCAGACACGGAGACCCGGCTGAGGTCGTTTGGACGCACGCTGCTCACTGGTCGGAAAAGGCCTGGAAGCTCCGCGGAGTCGCAGCCTTGCAAAGACATGCGCGGAAAACAGCCTGCGTCCCCACGTGACAGCGAAGAGGTGCCCTTCATTCGCTGTGGCGAGCGAGTCGGTCGGTTGGCGCTCACGAATTGTCAGTCACCCGTGCACGAACGTGTGAGCTTCCCACTTGCACCACGTCGTTGCCGAAACGCAGTTGCCACTGCTGCCCCTACTGCCTGTAGCTGTTCCGCTTACATGCCGACAAGGTGCTTTGTACGAGCTACGTGAGCTCCTCATCCTTTGCTTACTACGCAAAGGTATCTTTGTAGCCAAAGAACTGGAGCTAAAGGTCTCGCGTCTGCCCTCTGTTCGCACCTTTGCGCCTCGCGCAAGAGACCGAGTGGTCGTTGCTACGAGCCAGACAATGGCGTGTGGCTACAGCTGCGGCAACCAGCCGACTGCGGTCCCACTGGCAGCGCATCGACTACACACACAGCCAACCGGCCATCGAGCGAGCACCCGATGCCGGTAAGAAAACGTCTGCCACGTCTGTGTCGCCCGGGCGGAACGCGCGGCGAACTTAATAGTGAGCCAACGCCGCGTCCGGTTTCGAACGTCACTGCGGCGGCCGTAGGCCACAGACGGCACCCGCTGTCGAGATGTGCCTGAGATACGATCGCCAAGTGGCCAACGGCGTCTCATGGGTTCTTCTCCCTACCGATACGTTCTCTCGCGCGTCACTGCGACTGTTGCCGCTCGATCGCTCGTTCGACAACCAACAAACATCACGCGGCGCAATGGACACGCGACGTGTTGTCTGCACGCTGTTCCGCCGCACCAAAGCGTTGCAGCACACGGGAACAAGACATCCTCTCCGTGCTCCGTCCATCACTTAACCGCAAAAAGGGACTCGCGCAGTGGGGTGCGCGCGTGCCAAGTTGTAACCGGTCGTCCTTTTTCTAGACGACAGGGGCCGGTCCCCTCCTGCGGCACTGGCTGGTCGAACAGGACCGGGGGAGGGGCAGTCGGTCGGTCGGTCGGTCGGTCGGTCGGTCGGTCGGTCGGTCGGGCACGAAAAATGCTATTCGCGCGCGGCTCTTCTGCGCCTGGAAATTAGTTGGTCCGCAAAGATCCGGTGGCGATTGCGGATCAGCTATCGATGGCACAGTCATCGACCGACGCGCCCAAAGCCCCGCAGCGGTTGTTGAATGGGTACACATCAACAGGCAGACAGACGCACGGAGACCGACCGACCGACCGATAGATAGATAGATGTGTAGATGTGTAGATGCGTAGATCGATGTGTAGATCGATGTGTAGATCGGTCGATGGAGAGGCTATGGCCTGAGCGCGTGTGTGCCAAGACGTCGAGTGTTGCCAGGCACAACGTCCTGCTGTCGCGTCGACTGGCAGTAGTCAGTAGGTCCTGCAATACCAGCGAGTAGCTGATACCGTCCGCGGCCTCACTCGCCGTGGCCTGCAGTCGCACATGACCCACGAGCGGCTCCGCAGGCGGACGTTCACGAGATCAGTGCGTTCGCACTCGTGCGAAGCAGTCGCTCGCCCCGCGCACTGGCGAGCCAGGCCCCCACGTCAGCTGCTTGCGGTCGCTGCGCTGGATCCCGCGCCACGCACGCTGCAATCAGCTGCGTGATGGGCACGGGGCAGTCGGCCGAGAGCGGCGGACGGAGCCCGTCGTGCACAATCCGACGCATCAACCGGAGCGGGTGCTGCGCGAGGCGCTCGGCCAGCGACGCCGGGTCGTGGTACGGCAACAGGCACGTGTCCAGCTCGCTCAAGAGCACGCCGAGCGAGTAAATGTCCACTTTCTCCGAGTACGCTTCGCCCAGCAGCAGCTCGGGGGCTGTCCACGACAGCGTCCCAGCAGCTCCAGTGGCCGTGCAGTTCGTCCTGCCGTCTTCGCGGCCCACGCGCTTGCGTCGACTGATGCCAAAGTCGCACAGCTTTGCGTCGAGCGAAGCCGAGAGCAGCACGTTGCGCGACTTGACGTCGCGGTGGAGGACCTGGGGGCTCAGCGCGTGCAAATAAGTCAGGGCGCTCGTGACGGCCTGCGCGATCGCGAGCTTCTGTTTGGCCCATGTAAAGTGGTTCGACGACGTCGCGTGGCCCGCTGAAGTCATGAGGAGACCCACTCCAGGACCGCCAAACGATCCGGACAGTGTCGCAGCAGTACCGGCAGCAGCAGCAGCAGCTTCGTCGATCGGTGGCACGACAGAGCCCGAGCGTCTCCCCAGTGCAGTGGTGTGAAAGCTGAGCGACGAGCGGTTGGCCGCCAATTGTCGGGCCAGGAACTGCTGGAGATCGCCGCTTTCCATGTGCTCTTGGACCATCACCACGTGCTCGAGCGTGTTCCACGCAATGCTCCTCAGCGTCACAATGTGCGGATGTTTCAGCTGCGCCAGGAGGTAAATCTCGGCGAGGAACATCTCAATCTCCGGCAACAGGCGCCGCTTGTCCGGCACAAGCTGCTTGACCGCCACGTGCGTGTGGTCATGGAGCGCCAGCCACACTTCGCCACTCGCACCGCGCGACAGCGGCCGCACGAGCTGCAACTCGCCCAGCGGAATGCGCAGGCGCCGGATCTTGCGGTGCGACTCGAACAAGCGGAAGCTCCGGATGACCAGCTCGTTCTTCTGGGCCGTCTTGTCGTTGTTCCCTGTCGAGTCCGTACCCGCCACGTCGGGGCCACTGCTGTCTGCCTCGTTAGGCAGCGGCCGAAGGTGTGCGCTCGATGCAAACAGCGGATCAAACGCCGACGCCGACAGGCCAATGGTCGCGTCAAAGTGCTCGAACGCGGCCGCGTTCTGGACCCCGTCGTCGTAGCTCACCGACGTCGCGGACACCTCACCCTCCGAGTGGTCCGACCTGCTACTTGACGAACGTGATCGGGACTGCTGTTGCTGCTGCTGCTGACTTGTACCCGAAAGACTATGGGCGCTTGCTCGGCTTTGCTTCTTCCGCGTCGGCACGAGGAACGCCTCGACGGCGCCATTGTCAAACAAGTGCTGGTTCTCCCGCATGAAGAGGTCGACTTCTCGCTGGGCTTCCTGGCTCATGGCCGACTGGTAGCGGTACACGGCCACAGTGCTGAACGTCACGACCGTCACGAGGCACAGCGGCACGAGCAGCCACGTCTTGTCTTCCTTCTGGTCGGCCGCGAACTTGGCCAGCCACGCCGACGCGACGGCCCCCGGCCGCGGCCGACACCACCGCAGCGGCTCAACGGCACTGAACGGCGCGCACGGGATGATCATGGCCGGCGTGCGCGGACACTGCGTGAGCGCTACTTCGTGCCGAGCCGTGTGCAAAGCAAAGATCAGCTGCGACGTGCCGTTGATGCCGGCGTCGCCCTCCACGTGCCGGAGCACTGTGACCTCCGGCACCGTCTCGAGGTCGCCGCCGTCGCCCCACACCGCTGCGTACGCCGGTGGCGACACGTCCGGACCGGCGTCCACGGCGCACTGTACGGCGCGCAGCAGCTGCGACGTCTTGCAGTCCACTGCCCGGTAGAAGACCGTCCCGTCCGGTAGTGCGCACGTGCGCACGGGGCACTGCATGCGCGCGACGGCCTTTGGCGGCACAACAAGCTCTGCCATTGAGCGTCCGCAGCGCGTGTATACGCGCACGAGTGCGTGCGTCGACGTGAAGACGTAGCCCGCGTCCCAGAGCACTGCGCGCTGGAGCAGCCCGGGCAGGTCGCTGAACGCGAGCGAGTAGCGGCGCAGCGTCTGCTGCAGCTCCCGCGGGAGCGCGTCGACGTGCACGTGGCGCAGGGGCGCGAGGTCGCCGGCCGTGGCAAAGAGGCGGTAGTAGTGCTGGGCAAAGTCCGAGTGGAGGCCGCGCGTGAGGTCAAACCCCCTTTCGAGCGGCACGTCGACGGCGGTTGACGAATGGAGCGCGCACACGAGCGGCAGCAGCGCGAGAGCGACAGATGCGCGCGACTTCATGTGCGTTGTCGGCCGACTTTGGCGGCGCGCGGCGAGAGAATGATAAGCGGCTCGACACCTTTTGCTACGTCAACGTCAAGAGATACATACGACCGTCAACCAGAAGGACCGACGGAGGGATCAGATCAAGAGACCGACAGACATTGAGTGGTATCCGGTAAACGGCCATCGCGTCGTCTGCCAAATCGACTCGAAGGGAACCAAAGCGGCGATCAGCTCAAGCTCTGCTTCGTCCTCGTCCAGTCAGTCCCATAGTCAGTGGGTTAGTCGGTCAGTCTCTTGTCGTTCCGTCGTTCTCTGCTGCTTCGTGTCGGTCAGTTGCGAAACCTCTCGCCCCATACGCCGTCATCACTTCCGCTTCCTCTCTCCTCTTCCTCTCTCCTCTTCCTCCGCTTCTTTTCCTCCTCGCAATATGTTGGCCGTCACGAGCCCCGCGACGACCAAATCGCCTCTCGCGCTCACTGCACAGCCGTATCTCTGCGGCGGCGCGTCCGCCGTCTTCGCGGCCGTCGCCATCCACCCCATTGACCTCGTCAAAGTGCACCTGCAGCTCGCGGGGCAGACCGGCGCGACCGTCACGGGCCTCAGCGTCACGCGGTCGGTCCTGGCCCAACAAGGCGTCGCCGGCCTCTACGCCGGTCTCTCGGCCGCCGTCGCGCGCCAAATGGTCTACGGCACCGCGCGGCTCGGCATGCACCGGGCGTTCTCCGACAAAATGATCGCCCGCCGCGTCGCACGGGGCGACAGCGCGTCGCTCCCGCTGTCCGTCAAGTCGGGTTCGGCCATTGTCACGGGCGCGCTCGCCGCGACCATGGGCTGTCCCATGGACGTGGCGCTCGTGCGCATGCAGGCCGACACGCTGGCCACGGCCGGCGACAAACGCGGCTACAAGAACGTCCTGGACGCCGTGTACCAGATCGCGCGGTCCGAGGGCGTGGCCACGCTCTGGCGGGGCAGTGTGCCGCTCGTGGCCCGCGGGGCGGCCATGAACCTCGGCATGATGGCGTCGTACGACCAGGCCAAGGAGATGATTGCGGCCCGGTACGGCCACAGCTTTACGACGAATATGGGCGCGAGCGCCGTCTCGGGCTTTGCCTGTGCCTTCACGTCGCTGCCGTTCGACCTCGTCAAGTCGCGCCTCATGAACATGAAAGCAGACCCCGTGACGGGCCGCAACCCCTACACGGGCGTGACCGACTGCTTCAAGCAGATCGTGACGAAAGAAGGGCCGGCCAAGCTCTGGCGCGGCTACTGGACGTACTACACGCGGTGCGCGCCCAACGCGATGATCGTGCTGCTCGTCGTGGAGCAGCTCAATGCGGCCTACAAGAAGGCGTTCCTCGACTAGAGCCTCTGCGCGCGGGGGGGGGCGTCTTCCGAGCTCAGGGGGGCGCAGAAGGCGTCGCGAGCGAGGGAGCGGTCGAAGCAGTCCAAGGCGGAATGGAACGCCTGACGTCGATCGATCAGTAGTGCGTCTCGCTCGCTTATCAACGCGTGTGGGTGCGTTGATGCAGCACTGGACGACAAGAGCTCTGCATCGTCGAGCGTGGAACGTAAGTGCATAGAGATCGTAGAGACGCGGCGCCCACGTGGCAGCCACAGGGTCAGCTGTATCGTTCGCCGCGCCACAAGGACAGGTGCTCGCTCCGTAACAACATGCTATTGTACCCTTGGCCATGACGCGTCGCGCCTGCCGCTCTTGCCCTCTGTCTGGTCGGTCACTCCTACCGCTGCACGTCTTTGCTGGCCAAACAAACCTTCCGGTCAGCGTAGTCAGTGGCGCGACGGCTCGTCCAAGAGCGTCTCAATGTCGCTCGCCATGCTCCGCGGCGAGTCGGTGGGCATGTACCGCTTGACCACGCGGCCGTCGCGACCGACGAGGAACTTGACAAAGTCGTTCTCGATAAACGCATTCGCAGCCGCCTCGACCGCGCCCGGCCGACGCGTCTTGCAAAACGCCATGGCGTCACGTGCGTCCGGCCCGTTCACGTCGCGCGTAGCGAGCACCGGAAACGTCACGCGAAACACGTCGCGAAAGTGCGCTACGAGCTCTTCGTCGGTGGCAAACTCCGCGTCGCTAAACTGCGCGCTGGGGAACGCCACGACTTTGAGCCCCGCGCGCTCGTACTCCGTCGACAGGTCCGCGAGCTCCGAGAGCTGCTCGGCGTCTGCGCTGCCCGACCCGTTCGGGACAGTTACCAGCAGCGCCACGTGGCCACGCAGCTCCGACAAGTTGTACGTCCGGCCCTGGGCGTCCACGTCCTGCAGCGCATACAGCGACGCGGACGCCGCTGCAAACGAGAGGATCGCAGCATTCGTCTCGAGAAACAACGCACCCGCGTCCAGCAGCGCGAGCAGCCACACTTCCCGCTCGGCTTTGGTCTGCAAAGAGAGCACTTCGACGGCATCGTCGTCGTCGCTGCTGCCGTGGCCGCTGAGTTTCAAGGCAGCGGCACCGCAGTACGCGACCGTCGCGGCCGTGAGGTCGACCCGCGCGAGCTCACGTCGTGCCACGTCCGTCGGGAACAGCAGCAGCGCGTGGTGCTTCGTCTTGTTCACGACAGCGTAGCACGGCCTCTGCTTCGACGCCATGCCAATCAAACTGCGCACGTGAAAGCGCTTCTGTGCGCGCTGCACGAACGCTGCGCGCGTAGCTCCGTCGGTCACGGCCCAGACCGAGAAGGCCGGACGGGTTGTCCGTCTCGATGGCTTCGCAGCGCTCGTTGGTGTCTGCCGTTGCTGGATCGGCAGGACGACAGCGCCTGGCAATGAACTCGTGGAAGTGCTGTAGACCGTCGCCGACGCCGCGACGTTCGGTGTGGCTGCAATGGCTGTGGCGCCAGGAGCGACGAGCTCGTAGTAGCCGTCGTCCGAGACGTAGAGCTCGCCGAGCGCTTCCTCGTCCGCTTTCGACGCCTCGTTGGCTGGCGACAAGAACCCACTGAGCACGAGTCCTTCCGCGAGCTCCTGAGCAGCTCGAAGCGAGTTGTTGGTCGCAAACGACAGCAAGAGGTACTCGAGAATGGCCTTGAGCAGCTTGCGGCCCTGGACGAACGTCCCCTGTCCAGCGCGTGCCAAGTGAACCGGATGCTGCCAGCGGTGTGTGCGCTGGAGAAACACGTCGTGACGCACTTTCGGTGCCAGCAAATACGTGGCCACGAGGTCGATTTGCGTCTTGAGCTCCGACGGCAGCAAGTGGAAACGCTGCAAGCGACGAAACACACGTCCTTCGACGGCTATCGCCGACGGAAGAGGCTGTTGGACTGGACTCGATGCAAGCGACACGGGCGAAAGCGCAGTCACGAACGACGGCTCGCGCTCCAACAGCTCGCGCTCCGTCCGTTCGGTCTCGCGCGCACTTTCGGCCATCGCGGCCATAGTCGCCGCGGCTGTACTCATGCAAGAAACCAAAGAAGAAGAAGAAGAAGAAGAGAGAGCTGCCACGAGACCAAACGCATTGTGTGTGTGTGTGACGTACGATGGATGGGAGCGCGTGCGTATGTGGGGTGCGTTCTCTCGCGCCCTTTCTCGTATTGAGCGCACGTTTTCCAGTTGGGAAGATGCTGTTGCGCGTACCCATCGATCGTAGTCAAACGCCCCCCCGCCAGCAGCTACTGCAACGAGTTGAAGGACGGCCATCGCCCACTCACTCACTCACTCACTCCTCATGGCCAAGATATTAGTTACGTGACATCAACCACGTCCAGACCCGTAAGTAAAACCGTTGCAACCTCTGACTTGGCCATTACAATAAAAAGAATTGGTCAACTAGCAATAGTGGGTGGGTCGGTCAACGTGGAATCCCCAGCGCAAAGGAGGGGAGGACGGCCGCGTACATGTCGCCAGCACGGCCGGATTTAAAGCGCCGTCGCGACCACCGGCACGTTCCCCGACTCGACAGTCTCCTCCTTGGTGACCACCACTGGGACACTAGCAACGTCGTCCTTCTTCTCTGACTTGATCTCCACCACCTCTGAGACAGTAGCAGCAACAACAGCAACGTCCTCCTTCGTTCCCGACTCGACGACCTCTACCTTCGTCACCACCTCTGGAACAGCAGCAACAACAACGTCCTCCGTCTTGTTCGACACAACAACCACCTCCTTGGTCTCCACATCCGGAACAACAACAGCAGCAGCAGCAGCCACTTCTTCCTTCTTGTCCGACGTGACAGTCTCCTGGTCCTTGGTTACCACCTCGGAAGCAGTGACTTCTTCCTTCTTGTCCTCTTCCTTGTTTTCCGTCGTCGTTTCCGCGGCCGACTTGGCAACGTCCACTGCCTCCTCCGTGGCCTCTTCTTCTGTCTTCTCCGGCCCAGACTTTTTCGCCAGCAGCTCCTTGATGTCGCTCTCAAACGACAACGGCAGATCCGTTGGTGCGTAGCGCTTGTACGGCTGTCCGTTGCGGTCCACCAAAAACTTGGTAAAGTTCCACTTGATGTAGTTGCCGAACGTTCCAGGCAGCTTTGCCTTCAAGTACGTAAACACCGGGCGCGCGTTCGAGCCATTCACGTCGTGCTTCTCGAACAGCGGGAACGTCACATTGTACTGCTTCACAAACTCCTTGATGTCCTCGTGTGTGCCAGGCTCCTGGCTCTTGAACTGGTTGCAAGGGAATCCCAGCACCACCAGTCCTTCTTCTTGGTACTTCTCGTATAGCTGCTGCAGCTCCGGGTAGTTCGTAGGCGTCAGACCGCACTTGCTCGACACGTTCACGACCAGGATCACCTTGTCCTTGTACTCCTCCATGCTCACTTCTTTCTTCTCCATATCGAAATCCCTCAGCTCGTAGAACGACGTGGCTTCTTCCACGGCCAAATTGTACACCTCGCGGTACTGCACACCCACGTTCAGCAGCGAGTTCAGGAACGAGTCCTGACCTTCCTTCGTCACCAAATTCAGCAGCTCAAACTTGTCGCCATACACCAGCTTGACACCAAACTGAAAGTGCGTGTTGTCAAACTGGACAAACCCGTCCGCGGCAGCGTACTCAGCAATAGCGACACGCGCCACGTCCGACTCGAAAAAGTAAATCTTGTTGGTCTTTTCGTTGGCCACGACGTACACGTCTTTGCCCTGCGTAAAGGCCGAAAACACACCCGCCTTGCGCTTGAGCTGCGACGCAAACACAGCGCCGTCCACGACGCTCCAGACCGTCGTGTCCTTCGACTCGGTGATCGTCGCTGGCAGCGGCACAAACAGCTCATTGTCCGTCACGTACTCCTTAATCGTCTCGGCCAAGTAGTTCTTCACGCGGTCCTTGTACGGCGTGATGAACCCAATGAGCACCAGCGCCTCGGCGATCTCCTTGGCACGTACGCGGTACTGCAACGGCGCTTCCACCACCGCCGCCTCCTTCGTTGCAGCCTCTTCCTTGCCGACCGCCTCCTTGTCCGCGACAACAGCAGCTACAGCTGCAGCCTCCTCCTCTTTGACAGCAACCGTCTCCTTGTCCTCCGTAGCAGCACCAGCCTCCACTTCCTGGATAGCCCCGTCTGGAGCTTCTTCTGCCTTGGCCTTGTCAGCTGCTCCTTCTGCAGCCTTCACCGCTTCCTCTTGGCCCGGGACGACCGTGACTTCACCCTCAGCCTCTTTAGCCTCAGCCTCCTCGGCCTTGGGCGCCTCGGCTCCGTCCTTCTTCTCCTCCTCCTTCTTCTCGACGTCCACGGGCTTGAGCCACGTCTCGAGAATGTCCACGAGGTCTTTGCCGCGCACGCTCTGCGGCACTTTCACGAGCGCCGAGTGGTGCGTCGTGAACACGTCGGCCTTCTTCTCCATCAACATCGTCTGGGCCTCTGCCGTCTGGTCCGCCAGATCAGGGGCGAGCGCGTTGAACGCGGCGCGGCGGGCGAACACGCGACCTTGGACAGGACTGTCACTCATGGCTGCAACAGGGGAATGCGCGAGAGAGAGAGGGGGCGAGAGAGAGAGAGGGAGAGAGGGAGAGGGAGAGAGAGGGGGGCAACGGTCGAGCTGCGTGACGGGCGGACGGGTCGGGACTGGACGTGCGCACTCGATGGGAAGTTGCGAAATGAATGCGGTTTTGGCGACGGGGAGCGCCACTTTCCCACACGTCGCAGCTGAAGCGACAGACGAAGCCGCGCTCAAACGCAACCCAATATCCCGTTCGACGTGACAAGAGCCGGGTCAGTGCAACGATAAACGGGACAGACCCGCGACAGAGACGGGCCACGCTTTGCAGTCTTTACGTGCGGAATCAAGTCTCACGGAGCGGTCCCTCTCCCCTCGTAATCAGGAAAGACGGGGAAGGCATCACAAATGACAGGTCGCGAGCCTTCCCGACAACGGGAACCAGGCGGCAAGAGTGCAGCCATGTTGCAAAACCAGGCACGTGTACACTCAGCGCCTGGAGCCTTCACTTTACAAGATGCGATCGCGCTGGCTCTGCGTCTGCGCCAGCGCGACGGGGCTCGAGCGCTCATTCGCTGGTGAAGCATTGAGCGCGTTCGTGGCGTGAGGGACGCGACGACGCGACGGTCGACGGATCGCACAGCGCGCGCCTTTTCGACGCGGGGCTCGCAGCCTGAGGGTCGTCCGCCGCGCTCGCTGGCAGTACCACGTGGTCAGTCGATCGCCACGGGATGGACTCCCGTAGCTGTCGCAAGGCAAGAGACGTCCCACCGTAGCGCTTGCACGGCCGGGAACGGCCAAAAGTGCATAGAGGCTATGATGGGCTAAGCCAATGAGCAACGAAGCGACAGGACCCGTCGTCCCAAAGTCCGGCGCGACGCGGGCATTAAGTCGGTGCGCAGGGGATGCGCCGCCATATGGACAGTGCGCGCTTGCAGTTTCCTTGATTTGTCGGCCCCGCCTTTCCATCCGCAATGATGGTGTGGGGGTCTCTGCCGCCAAGAGCCACACCGTCGGAGCCATCTTCGGAGACGTTACCATCTCGCAGAGGGGCTGTCAACACGTGAGGCGCGCGTCCATACGTTGGCAGATGGCGCTCACTGCCTGCACGATGCAGCCGACAAAAAAGTACGTGGGGCAGGAAGATTTGAGCTTGATGCCCTTGGAGGATTCTTGTGGCTAGTGCGTCTGATTGTTCGTCCGCACACGTTTACATGGGTTGCGCTTGGTGGATAGCCGCCGAGATAGTGCACACTTACCCCAACGAGAGATGAACGATGACGCTGTGTCCCGACATCGCGGTGAGGAACACGTGAGTGTGTCGGCTTCGCAAGCGATCTTAGCAAGAGACCACTTAGTGACGTCTCCTCACATGTTTACTCTGACGACCAGATAGGTATGGATCCCTGGGGACAACTGAACACTTGAAGTCCTCGGCTGGAGATACACTTTGGCGGCTTGTGGCTGCTGACACAATCGTAAACTCAGCAAAAGTGAGCTCCTTTGATACCTGACCGGCAACCGACAGCTATCGCTCTCCCGCTTACATGGCGGGCAGCCCCTCTCACTTGATACAGCCAATGCACAATTCAGAAGTATGCTCAGCATTGACTGTATCCAGAAGCTGTTTGCGTGTCATCAGATCGAGTCGGCAAACGCAAAGAAAAGAGCGTCAGCCTCGCGCTGTGAAAGCAGCACCAAGAAACAAACGCAGCTTATCTAGTCCCCATGTGCCGATAGAATCGACACGCCGGTACGGTACATCTGCCTCGTCAGAACGCGTCAGACCTCTTTTCTGACGTGTTGCGTCACGCGTTCGTGCATGGATTGCCCCTTTTGTTAACGAATCCCTCGTGGTGTCGTCGGTCTTGTCCGAGACCACACTTTGCTTGCGTGATGTCTTCGCACAACGACCTTACAACACAAAGCGTTACGCTTGTGGGGGTGACGACAGCACAGTCGCTGTCTTGCACTTCGTCGTTTGTCTATAGAGCGAGAAAAGAGCGCAAGACGCAGGTTTTGCTTGGCCAGCCGTCTGTCTGCGAATCGATTCCTCGCCGGTCGTCAGAAGTTTGGAGCACTGGACTGCCTTCCACCAAAGCCCAAGCAGTTTGAGAACCTTAGAACCAGCGAAACGAGCCACAGCTTTGCGCGAAGACGTCGCTGGCGGCGCGTTGTCGCACACTTACGAGCTCTCAACGTGTCGATTTCGGGAACTGTACCATTGATGTCAAAGGCTGAGGTCCGGTTAGTACCGACTTTACTGTGTCGTCACGATGACGACGGCGGCGGCGTTCGGAACAGGATGAAGCCAGCATCTTCGACGACTGGACTACACGACGCAGAAACGTGCCTTCGACAACAGCATCGTTTGACACGCCGGCTCTGACATTGCGTTGCATGCATGGACCTGTAAGTGAAGGAAGGCATCCTGTTAATGCTGATACGAGGTGGTCAGCGTTGCAGACGTGTCGTCGCTATGCATAGGAAGAATTGCACAAACGTGCTCCCAGGCATCGAGTAGTTCGGTGGGTGGCTGCTGGTACAGTGGTGGTCCTCGAGAGGGGCGGCGTTTGCCACATTGACAGATCATGTTGTAGTGACAACTTTGGCCCTACTACTGGAACATTGTCGCTCGACATGGCTATGACGAGCTGTTGTATGTGATCTGTGGAAGGCCACGCAGCTGAAGTGTTTGATGTCGCGAAGCGATTTTGTTTTTTCCATCTTTCATCCAGCAAGTTGCACGTGCTCAATGACGCGCTTGTCAGCGGACATTGGCACGAGAAGAGAAAGGCTGACCACACGTTTGACAGTACCACCCGAGTCAAAACTCAACGCCGGCGGCCGACGTAAGGAAGTTGCCCAGATATGATACGACACACGCCTTTGTTCATGTACTTCGCGTTAACACTACACATCAGCCGTTCTTTGTATTGTATCCTTATTGTCGACATGTGAATGACAAAAGTGCGATAGAGTCGACTCGTTTGCCATCTTTACCAGCTTTGTGCATTTCCTTCGTGAGCCTGATCTCCTGCGAAGCTATAACCGACCTACAGATTGTGTCTCTTGAACCGGTGGCACTCAGCATGGCGACGATAAGGGCCATGAGATATGGGTCACGTGGCTGCACCGACATGTGTGCCACAGCTCCGAAAGAAACCGGAGCTTTTTTGCTGCTCAGACACCGGAAGCGCTCACTTTTAGCACGCAATATCGAGTTCGTTGCGGTGTCTGCTCAAGATGTTGGGCCCTCACACAACGTACACAATTGCGTGACGCGCTGTCGAAATTCTTGGGCCAAATCGTCTAACATGCAACTGGTATTTGTGAAATATAACAACGCACGGCCGCATGTCCATTACGGTGTTATAATTGTCCATGTCACAGACTCGCTCACGGCATTGACAGTCAGTGTGAAGTACAGACCATGAGCCACGAGTTTGCTCACATTGCTGCTGAGACGTGAGGCGGCGGCGGTCTTACATTCGCGTGCGCAGAGTATCGATAAACGTCATCGCAGCACGTCCTGCAAATCGTCCGGACCTTGAGCTTCTTTTGCCAATGCCGGTCCACGCTCGAACGACGTCGACCCGTGTCATAACCACTAATGCTCGTCCTCCCATCGCCTTCCGACCCCGCATGCATACCAGTGTGCGCGTGGGCAAAGCTGTCTACCGACGCCCGGTAGCCGCACTTGCGGCACAACGAGACTGAGTGGCAGATGTCGCATACATACTGCTTTCGAAACAGTCCAAAGCGCTTGCCACAGTGCTCGCACTCGGTCGCCTTCTCGCGAATAGTGCTGATGGAATGCGATATGGGGCGAAATGAACTTCGGATGGGTAGCTGAACCGACTGCGACCGCAGCATGGGACCCGAATAACTGAGTGCGCGTGGCAAACCACGATCCGAGGCGGTGAGGATTGTCGGGCTAGCGTCGGGCATGCTGCCGCGCAGACCAACGTCGACGTCCATGGACGACGAGGAGCTGGACGTGGACGTCGAAGACTGTCTCGGTACCATGGACGCTTCCTGTCGTGTCGGCACACTGGCTGGCACAACCCCTCCTGCCTCGGCCATGGACTTTTCAATTTGCTTCAGTCGACTCGAACGGGACTGTGTGCCTTGTACACCCATAACACTCGCGCGCATGAGACCGTACACGGTCAAGAAGCACGCGACGATGATCCCGAGAGAGCGGACTCGATCAATGTCGAGACTGTCGATCGAGCTCAGCAAAGAAGACGATGCGCGACACCTTGAGCTTCGACCGCTCTTGACGCCATCCAAATGAATCCACTGATACTCGTATGCGCTCGTCACATTGTCCCTACTGATGGCCTGCACACGGTACGCATACCTGCGTCCCGACTGGACACTCAGGTCCACGAGCTCCGATGCATTCTCGTCCAGCAGCGTGCTCCACTGTGGCTGGTTCTCTCTGTCCGGATATCGCTGAAGCACAAAGCGCTCGACTGGCCACATGGGCATCTCAAAGCTGCGCCACCGCAGCGCCACTGCATCACACGTGCCAACTGCCACCAAAAGCGGCGAGTGTGGCATCGGAGAATCTGCAACATATACAACTCGGCGTCATCATCCACCACCAGCATCTCGACCTTTCAATGATAAGCAAGTAGACCGTCATAAAGCACAGCGTCGCGTACAGTGGGGAACAGAGTCGTCTTCGTCCATCTCAAATGACGACAGCTCGGACGCAAACGAGGCGTCGTCGCTCGCAGCAGGAGCTGAAGCGGCAGCAGCTACGGCCGAGTCGAAGTATGGGCATATTGCAGCGGAGAGGTCCGTGAAAACCAGAGCTGTGAAATATAACCACAGACGACAAACGACACCCACAGTGCAAAATAAATTACGTCACACAACACGACAAACGACCTTCAAACCCAACAACAATCAACGAAAATATACAAAAATGTGGACTGAACTCAACTCGACCGGACTGTACCTTCGAGCAACACGACCTGAACGCCGACGTGGAGACTGACGCTCGCCAGCAGCAGTAGCTGGTGCAGAGAGACGCAGCACACGCGGACCATGCGCGCCCAGAGGAAGTCGAGACGCGGAATACGGAGCGGACGGCGGGTTCGTGCTGCCGACGCCGTCGACCTGACTCCTCTTCACGAGCTCTTCTCCTTCTCTCGAGCACAGAGCCTCGACGCGAGGGGTTTGTCGCAAACGCGCGATCTGATTGGACAAAAAGCATCTTATCACGGCGATGTAACGCCCTGGCTGTTCTTGTATCAGGTCTGCGGCCCCCCCCCCCCCTATGCCCCAGTGTCAGGGTCAACGGGTGTGTATTGGTAGGGGTGTGGGTGCGAGTACCATGTACCGTCTATCCTCCATCGAAGCCCAGCGCGCGGGCACAATTCCAGGAAACGTCGGGAGCAGAGCCAGCTGCTTCCATGTCACACGGGTTGTTGGTTAGGTACGTAGGAGTATGCTGTTTTATGGTGTTGAAGATGAGACCGTACTTGTGAAGACATGCGCACCTAACGGCTGCGCCTTCTTCCTTCGTCCTGGATCTTTTCGTGCGTCGTGTCTCTTGTTTCCTCGACCGGACTTCTCAACGAGAGCACTGGATGCACAACGTTGTCGCAAGCATTAAAACATGGGTACACATGTCGCTTGACAATCAACTTGTTGCGGATCAGAGCGGTTCAATACGCGCTAAAGCACCGCAAGAGCAGCTCGCAAGTCACTTTGACTACGATCGTTTGCGTCACGCTGCTGGCTCCTACCTCACGGTCGCTTCACTCGTCCGAAGCCTTTTGCGCCAACAGCGTCTTGATGTCTTCCTCGAACGACAACGGACGTTCCTTGGGAGCAAAGCGCTTGTACGGTTGGCCATTGCGGTCGATGAGAAACTTGGTAAAGTTCCACTTGACAAAGTCGCCAAACGTACCAGGCAGCTTTGCCTTCAGGTACGTGAACACTGGACGAGCCGCTGCGCCATTGACATCGTCTTTCTTGAAAAACGGGAACGTGACATTGTACTGCTTGACAAACTCCATGATCTCCGCGTTCGTGCCGGGCTCTTGGCCAGCAAATTGGTTGCACGGGAACGCCAGCACCTCGAGCCCCTCGGGCTTGTACTTCTCATAGAGCTGTTGCAGCTCGGGGTAGTTCGTGGGCGTCAGCCCGCATTTGCTCGAGACGTTCACAGCCAACACGACTCTTCCCTTGTACTTGGCCATCGGCACTTCATTGCCGTCCATATCGGCGTCCTTGAGCTCGTAGAACGACTTGATCTTGGCCATGTCCTCCACGTTGAATGCTTCCCGGTAGCGTGCACCAGCATTGATGAATGAGTGTAGCCACTCCTCCTGCTTCTCTTTCGTCTCGGCGGCAAAGACCTCTGTGCTCTTCGCATTGGTCAACTTAATGCCGTGCGCCAGTGACGCGTCGAACTCGACTGTGGCCTTCGACGACAAGTCGACGGTCGCTAGAGGGGCGGCCTTATTCGTCTCGGACTCGAACACGGTCACGTTCTGGAGCGCGTCGTTCGCCTCGACGTACACGAGCTGTTTGCTGCACGTGAGTTTGGCCAACAGCCCCGCGCGCTTGCGGTGGAGAGCGCCCGCTTGGATCACACCTTTTGTCGGACTCATCTGCTTCCGATCTTCGGCTCGAGACGCGTTTTTCGCAAAGTGAGCAGCGATTGGGAACGAACAACTGGATAAATGAATGCCTATAAAAAGGATCGAGAAAAAGCGCTTTTTGCTTGGCCCGCTCGGGGATCATCGGTCTCGGTAGCCCTGCGACACCATTGTCATTGTTTGAAACGACTGTGGATCAGTAGAGAAACAAATTTCATTACACTAGTACTGTGGATCAGCAGAGAAGACAGACGGGGGTTTCGAGACTGTGTACAATGTCACAGCGTTGACGTTGCGGCTGATAGTGCGATGAAGAAGGAGAAACAGACACGAGATAAATCGACCTGTGAGCTGGTGGCCCCTGATGATTGTATGGGACTTGGGCTCGCTGTAGTATCAGCGGTACTTGAGACGCGAGGGAAGTATTGATGTCAATCCGGGGAAAGATACATGACGAGTTCGTACACACTACCTGATTGTGCCCGAGAAAGTTGGACGAGTCCAATCGATGGTCGTTACCATTCCTGGCATCGAAAGCCATCGAAGTAGATGTTGTTGAAGATATTGCACCACGCGTGGGCGGCGGAATCGCTATCTTTTGCGTGATACAAGACAATTGTGCTTCGAGTGGTGGGCCTATCATGATCACAATACGTTCTGTGTGTTCACTTCGGTAGAAGTGTAGAGCACCCAACTAGCAATTCGACCGAAGGCAGCGGTAGAGCGTAGTCATGACATCTCTTTGCGCTGTTTTTGGCATGACCGCCCGTTGTATGAGCAGTGCATGCGAAAGAAGGATCCAAAGAGGTACGTTTGATAGATGAAGTCTGTAAAAGTAAACCTCTTGTTGATCTTACTTTATCGATATTAAAGTGCAAGTTGATAGAGAAACTACTCGCTCACCACCCATTGCGCGCTTCTATGAGCGATTGGCGGCTAATTTGGCCATTAAATGGTCTATATCAATTAGTAAGGGAGGCGGTGCCGAATATTACCTTCAAAAAGGTAATGTTTCCCCATTTTTATTGAGTACGGTAAGTAGTGGTAAATGCAACTCAGTTAAGATAATATTCCCATCGACCTCATTCTACGGTCCATTGCGTGTAACATGCACACGCAGTTGCACTCCTTATTGATCTTTTGAGCAAGGCGCCATGAACGAATTGTATGTAACGTAGCACTTAATGTGTAAGTGAAAGTATTGTACATCGTTTGAGACCCGGCGCTGTAGCTTCTAGCGTGTGGAAGGTCAACTTTTGAGGATGACGTCTTCCGATCAGCTGGAAGTAGTCCGTCAAAGGTCATTGATAAATTACGTGTAAGCGCGCCGAACGCATTCGAGTCATCATGCTGGGCTTGTTTACGCTAGCGAGCGAAATCGACAGTTCCCGATGCGTGCATATACAACAGCCTCACAATGACATCCGGCGGTTGCGTTTCGGATGCACAATGTGATACTTTCTTTTAGTGCCGTGAGACAAAGGATACCCACCCGAACACTAGCTGCTGTAGGCGCTATTCCAAAACATGTTCGATACGTTGTACTCTACACGGAAACGATTGCAAGACACATGGCGTCTTTTGCGCTACATTCTCCCAGTATGGGCTTCGCGAGGCCTCATTGATATATTACCAAGTACTTTCAGATGTAGCAGTGAGCACAAAGTCCGCATGATTACAACATACACGAGGACATCGCTTATATTTTCCTGCAGTTGCAGTGCGCGGTTTTGCCACTAGGAAGGCGAATGCGTCAAGCTTGGATATCATTGTCAACAACTTGACGTGGTCAATGTGCTGAGCGGGTCGATCTTGTGTTGCACTTCGAAGCTTAACACTAGACTGCCTTGTTTCATGCGGACATGAGTCGTCAAGCGCCGTGTGGGGTGGAGTCATCTGGCTCAAGTTTATCGAAGGCGTTTCAGGAACTCGACAAGGAAGTGTTCTCGATAAGGAGGATCAAGATGGACGAGCTCATTGTGGTTCATATGTTTCAATCAGCCCGACGGACACGAAAGGTCAGATCCTTTCGACGCAGTGTCTGTGGCTCATTTGCTTCGCCAATACTGACGACAAGGGTTCTACTACAGCAGATAATGGCCTCGAGAAAACACACCGTTTCGCATCGATCAACAGCGTGTCTGACGAAGACCAGCATCATATGCATAAGTAACGCAGGGCGTGGGTAGCTAGCAATTAACCATTGGACAGCGTTTCGGGTCGACCATTTGCAAGTAAACGATGCTCGGCAACTGCCAGTGCGTGCGCAGCGTTTCACTTGAGTAGCTGACATGTTGCTGCAGCAACATTATGAGCCCAAAAAACACGACGCAAAAATGGCTCGGGACTAAGATAAGGACCACACAAGTGTTGGGAGACTCGGTGCTATCTCAGACAAATCCACTCAGTGCCGGTGTGGCGTTCATACGTTCATTCGTCATAGCGATGCCTTCAACATTCACATCGGTTCATGTAGTCGTACGGTACCCATAACAACTAGTTTGACTACAAGCCATGACAGCACACACGGGGACTTCTTGCGACGAAAGCGTAAACGTGACGGCGGCGTTACAGGTCTCCTTTCGGACGGAAAACATCAGTCTCTGGGTCGAAGCACGTGCTATCACTTACACCGACGAAAAGTCGAAAGTCGCGACGGGTTTCTTCAGAGCTTTGAATTTGTAGCGCGTGACAATACGGTCATTCAGAGGCTGCACCGGGCGAGCGTTCTTGCCTTTGTCCGTAATAGGGTACTCAACCAAGTCCTTGTGGAGACGATCAAAGTCGGCCGAGGTGATCGTGATCGGTCTCTCCACTACCCACCAGTCGGCATTCTCTCCACATCCAGGGGTTGTCAGACTGCCAGGGTAGTTGTAGATCGCACCTTTTACTACCGCCTTCCGTATCATCGTCGCGTAGGGTTCCCTGCCCACGAGACATAATCAAAAGCCTGTCAGTCGGTGTCAAGTATCGTGTTGGCCTGTATCGTGTAACGTACAGATCGACGACAATGGCGTCGCTTTCAGTAGTAGAGTTGACCTGCTCCAGAGCGTCAAGAACGGGCCCCATCCATTTGTCGGACACCGGGCCGATCTCCAAAAAGATGCCCAACACCAAAAGCGCCTCAGTTTCACTGTTCATGTGCACAAAGTGGATTTCGCCGTCCAGCTGCTTTCCATCGATGGTGTGCTCCGAAGGAGCGTGCAGGTGGAATTGCTTCAGGTCGTAGACCTCGCCACGTAGCGAGGCGCCGCAGTCGCCTAGACACACCACAGTCAATTTGACGTTGCAACTGACAACCCGATCGACATGCACGATAGAAACGGGCGGCTATCGTACCTCCTATGGCGTCCACCTCGAGCGGTTCATGGGGCTCCGACAAATTGTACGAGGTACACTGTCCATGGAACTTGAGCGGAAACCTTTTGGGTCTGTTAAACACACCAGTCGTGTCAATGTCGATGGGCGACTGACGGTCACCGCCGCACGTCTCCCAGGTGGTGTCCCACTGGGACGTGGTCACCATACTTTTGTCTCTAGCATGGTATGACCAAGTGGGATCCGCGGCGGCATCGACAGGGACCGTGAAGGCACACGCCGTAATGACAGCAGTAATCGAAGAAGTAAACTTCATCTTTTCAGGTGCAGTGAATCTCGGAACCGACTCAAAGGTTGGCAAGATGTGCGAAGATACGAGCAAATTGAAGAATGAAAACTAGCGATCAATTGCAGCGACGTGCGGTGCAAAAAACAAGCCAAGTTTGTGTGAAGGGCAATAGGGTCTGCTATGATGTCTACCCGCGTGCCGACCGTGTGCATCGCAGAATCCGTACCGGTTTCTACCACGCGTCGTCGATGTTGTAAGTTGATTAGAACGCCTTCACATTTTGCAGCTGCTGCTTTTAGTGCCAGGAGTCCAGGACACCGATAGCCTTGCAGTTGCAATCGTGTGGTTGGAGCTTATACGCTACCACAAGAACGTGTCGCTGGGAGCGAATGCCCATCACAATCGGGTTTCCAGTCGATCCTTCACGATGCACAGCCGAACATTCGTCCACTAACGAAGAGCAGTCGGTTTGGATTTCATTGAGCGCGGTTCAGGGCTGGGACGGCCCACTCTCTCCTCCGAACGCTAGAGACGAAGTGGGATACTAAGCACCTTGAGCAATGCTGATCCACGTTGACGGAGGTCTGGGCAATATTGATCTGCATTCGCTGTGTGAATGGAAGTAAGACAGCGAAGCGCAGTCACAGGATGTCTGAACTCAAGCTGAGTCCCATAAACATTGTAAAGTGCTATCGAGCAGCGCGTGCGGGTGTCAAAGGAAGCGCCATATTAATGTCACGTCGCGGGTGAAATCCAGCGCGATCGATTGGGATTGAACGTCGCCCAGTCCGTTGTCTTTTGTGGCATTGTATCGTTGGCTCGAAATTTGTGCTGGACAATCGTGCCAAAGAGTTGATCGGCTACGTCAGTACACAAGAACATACCGCCCTTCGAGTCGAGTGGTCGTAGAGACCTCAGTCAGCAATGCCGCGATGAGCTCATCGGCTATGTGAAGGAAAAACACGCATGGTACCATAACACGTGCACACGAGTTGTGTGTATGTAATCTGTTGCAGCCTTCCTTCTATACCACGCCTTTCGCTTCCACGTGTCGGGTGTAACATTCGTGTCCTTTCACATGCACGTAAGCACTCAGGATCAGTATACAGGTCCACTGGAAACAATCATGCGATCATGCGATCGTATCGTTACTTCCTCCAGGCGACAGACTGCATCTATTCGCGGCTGTCTTTCTCGCTCTTTCTTGCCTATCCACCAAAACATATCGCACAAAGTCGAACGGACTCTACAAATTTGTACAAGATTGCAGGAGTAGACCTTCCGAGTCCTCCGCTTCCGTTAGCACACTATTTTGGTGTAGAGCTGCGCCGCACTAATCTTCTGTGTCGGTGTAGGTCGACGGGTAAAGGGACAGTGCCGAGGGGTATTGCGCGGTGGCTGTTTC